TTTTCAAAAGTTTTGTAGTTTGAGGTCTTACATTTACATCTTTAATCCACTTTAATTTTGGCATATTGGGTAAAGATCTGCTCTGGTCTGAGTGTTTGTGACCCACCCCAGCCACGATATGTTGAAATGCCCTTTTTGATGGTATTAGTAGATGGGGTCTTTGGGAAGTACTTAAGTCATGAGGGCAGAGCCCTCATAAATAGAATTAGTGCTCTTATAACAGAGACTCCAGAGATCCCTGGTGCCCTTCCACCATGTGAGGACACACAAGAAGGCACTGGCTCTAAACTAGGAAGAGGGCCATTGTCAGAAGCGACCATGCTGGTACTATAATCTTGGGCTTCCCAGCCTCCAGAACTGCAAGAAAGAAATTTCTGTTGTTTATAAGCTACCCAGTCTGTGCCATTTTGTTAGAGTAGCCCAAGCAGACTGTGACAAGATCCAACTTTATTCTTTTGCATGTTTATATTCAATTTCCCAGCAGCATTTGTTGAAATGACTGGCCTTTATCTGTTCAGTGGTCTTGGCGTCGTTATTGAATATCCCTTGATTAGCATGTTGAACATACACGGAAGAGTTTTATTTTGGGGATCTCTGTTCTATTGGATTCTATGGCTGTATATGCCAGTCCCCTATGGATTTAATTACTGTAATAAGTTTTGAAATCAAGTCTGAGACCTCCAGTTTGTCCTTTTTCAAGATCAGCTCTTCAGGGTCTTGAGATTCCATATTAATATTAGGATGGGTATTTTTATTTATGCAAAAAATGCCATTGGGATTTTGATAGATAGCATTAAATCTGTAGATCATCTTGTGTAGTACTGACATCTTAACAATATTAAATCTTACAATCCATGAACACAGGATGCCTTTTCCTCTATTGTGTCTATAATTTCTTTCACTAATGTTTTAGAGTTTTCATTGCAGTCTTTGACCATCTTGGTTTTTATTCCTAAATATTTTATTCTGTTTGATACTACTGTAAACAGAATTTTCTTAATTTCCTTTTGGATTGTTAGTATTAGCATATAGAAACATAACTGATTTTTGTGTGTTGATTTTGAATTTGCAGCTTTGTGGAGTTTATCTAACATTTTCTTTTGTTTAGTGGAATCTTTAGGATTTTCTACATAACAGATCATGCTGTGATCAGAGCTAATTTTACCTCTTCCTTTCTAGTATGGATGCCTTCATTTCCTGTGCTTGCCTAACTGCTGTGGCTAGGAATTCCAGTATTTTGTTCAATAGAAGGGTGAAAGTAGGCAACCAAGCCTTGTTCCTGATCTTAGAGAAAGAACCTTCAGTCTTTCACCACTGAGTATGTTAGCTATGGACTTTCCATCTACAGCCTTCATTTTGTTCAAATATTTTTTCTATTAATAGTTTGAGTATTTTTACTGTGAAAGTGTTTTGTCAGATGCTTTTTCTGTACTTTGATAATACTGGTTTTTCCTCCATCATTCCATAAATGTGGTGTATTACACTGATTGATTTTCTTATACTGAACCATTCTTGCATTCTAGGAATGCACCCCACCTGGTCATCCTGCATAATCCTTTACAGTGCTATGGAATTCTAGTTAGTATTTTGTTGAGAATTTTTTGCATTGGTTTCCTCTTGCTGCCTTTAAGGCTCTCTTTGACTTTTGATAATTTGATTATACTGTTTCCCCTTGAACAACGTGGGGGTTAGGGGCACTGACCACAACCCCCACCCCATGTAGTCTAAAGTCCACATATAGCTTTGGCTCCCCCAAAACTTAACTCCTAATAGCCTATTGTTGACCAGAAGCCTTACCAACAACATAAAGTCAATCAAAACATTTTGTGTTATATATATTCTATGCTGTATTCTTACAATAAAGCTAGAGAAAATGCTATTAAAATCATCAGGAAGAGAAAATACATTAATATCTGTCCATGTTCATTTAGCTCACTGAGCATACATAAGACCCTTGTTGTAAATTCGTCAAGTCAAAGGTCTGCATTTTTTAAAGATTGATTCCTAAAGATTCTTTTGTTCCTTTGAGCCATGTTTTGTTATTTCTATGTCTTGTGATCTTTTGTTGAGATTTGGACATTTGAAAAAGCCACCTCTTCCACTCTTCAGAGACTGGGTTCATGCAGGGAAGACCTTCACTAATCAGCCCAACTTAAAGGCTCATGGTTGTCTCGGATCTTTGCCGGATATGCATCTTGCCTGGGACTGCATGTGTGCGTCTGTTCCAGTTCCCCACATACCATAACTGCTTTTACGTAGCTTCATTTCTGTTAAGAGTCTCATTCCTGCCCGTTCTCAGGAGACTTGAATTTCTTTTCTGTTCCTCTGCCTGTGATCGCTTGTCCCCAGACATCCACGAGTCTTCAGAACACCTGCAGTTCTCACCTGCTACCGTGCCCGTGGTCCGCAGCCTCCAGCCTGCCTTCTTTCCAGCAACGTTCTGAGTCAGGCAAGACAAACGAGTCCCCAGGCAAGTCAGAAAGTTACAAGCAAGTTTCATTCTCTACCTTGAGTCCCGAGGGAGAAACAGGATTGGGTGGTTTCCTCACAACAGCACGAGGGCAGGACAGGGACAGAGGCCAACCAAAAGCCTCAAAATTTCTGACCATTTCGAGTGGCCTTTTCTGTTAGCTGTTCGCTTGGTTGCTGCAGCTTAACTGGTTGCTAGCATTCTCACGAAGCTATTTTTCGTCCATCTATTATTTGGTGTGTCGGGGAGGGGCAAGGGCCTGAAGCTTCTTACTCTGCCATCCCTCTGAAGACACCTAATAACTTGTTTAAAATGTAGTTGTTTTATGTTACTAGTAAGAAATTGGTAGTATAAAGAAAATGAAATCCAAGCAGGATAGACTGGAATTACACGAAAAATAAAAGTCTCCATGCCCACTTCTAACATTCCATTCCTACTCACAGGCCTTTGCATTTTGAATGCTTCTGCAGGTCACCCCCTTAATTGTAAATAACATAGGCATAGTTTCACTTCTTCACTCATCAACTTTGAATCCGACAAATGATTTTATGCAACAATTGGAGGCTTGCAATAGACTTCCTTTTCCCTCATTCCAGTTATGGTTTTATTTTTACATTTAAGTTTCTCATTTTTTTTTTTTAAAGTAAGCTCTACGCCCAACATGGGGCTCTAACTCATGACCCCAAGAGCAAGAGTTGCATGCTTTACCAATGGAGCCAGCCAGGCGCCCCTCATTTGTTAGTTTTAGAACTTAATTTTTTCCTAGTTTTATCGAGATATAATTGACATGAAACACTGTTTATAACTGTAAGGGGCAAATACTTGACGCACTCCCAGTACGTACGTAAAGGAGATTAGCACTTGTGCTCTTCTTTTTCCCTGCCACCATCTTCTGAATGTGGTCAGGTTTTCTAAAATGTCCTTAATGTTCTGTGAAAGTAGTTGTCTTTTATGCTTTGATTTTAAAAGATTTGAATCCTGTGATGATGTACCTATGGGCTCTTGAAGACAGGCAATTATTTGTCACTAAACCTGTATCTCTCAAGTTTTCTTAGATTTCATTCAAAACTTTATTTGCGTGGTTGATGCTGTTCTAAGAGCTTGAGTTACACTCGTCATTAACTTAAAATCATGTCTTACCTTCGGACAAGTTTTTACTTTATACTAGAATATCAAGAATTACCCTTTTTGCTTGTTGACAGTGCATGTTCTGTCACCGTATTACTAAGATCGTCTCAGTTTGGTACCATGGTCGCAGCACGGTGATGTTTTAAAATGCAACTCTTTTCCAGTATCCCCAGCTGTCCAGACCACTTGTCATTTTCTGACCTCTTTTAGAATTTGTTTGGCTTAATGTCCATCTGTCTGCACCCCCAACACTAGAGTGAAAGCTCCCAGAGGCTAAAGGACTTCGTTTTGTTCACTGCTGTATCCCCAGTGTGTAAACAGAGCCTTGGGCACATAATGCTCAAGAAAAAATTCCTGAACGCACAAATCTTACAGCTATTAAATGGTATCTATTTAATTATGGTTCTTAGAACCAATTTTCCTAAAATCTTCCCACTGTTTGTTCCCATTTGGATAGACTGCCATCTTTGTCTGCTTCAGATGTTAAAGTCCTGAGATACCTTTCAGTCATACTACTAAATGTGTTCTGCTGGTTCTTGCAGAGCATACTCTCCAGTAGGTATTTTCAGAAAGGGTGTGTGGCAAAGTTTCTGACTGCGTGCTTGCCTGTTCATCTTTATTTTGCCACCTCACCTCAACAGTTTGGCTCTAGATAGAATACACTCGTTCAAAATAATTTTCTCTCACCAGTATGCGTAAGGTTCTAGAGCTCACTGTTGCTACTCAGAAATCTGATAATCCGCAGAAGAAATAATCAGAGAAATAATTTCCCAGACGTGGATACAAGTCTTCTGAACAAAAGGTTTATTGAACAGGCTGTGAAATGGGAAAGTATAAATGATAAAGTTTTTTGAAATTTCAAAACACAAAGCTTGAAGAGAGCATTTCTTTTTGATATTCCCTCCCCTTCAGAGCATTTTCTTTGCACAGGTTGAAGCACTGGAATCCTCCGTTTCCTTTAACTTCTCATCCCTCAGCTGACCGTCATTGCAGGCTGGTTTTTTCTGAAATGTCTGTCAGGTTAGTCTCCTTGAGGAGTAGCAGACTGGTAGACGGGAGGAGAAAGGATGGCGTGTTTGTTTCTCGGTTGCAGCAGTACCTGATCCGGAGAGGCTCCCGGCCTGCAGCCTTGGCTCGGCGGTACCCAGGCTGGAGGTGGCCGCAGCTCCCGAGGGACCATCGCAGTCACTCGCTTCTGTAGCTGCGTGCTGTGGTCTGAATGTTTGTTTGTGTCCCCCCCGCAGTTCGTGAGGAAATCCTAAGTCCCGAAGGTGATGGTATCAGGAGGCTGAGGTGACCGGGAGGTGTATGAGGGTGTCACTCACGAAGAGATGCCATACGAGGAGATCCCTGGCCCCTCCAGCACATGAAGATCTGAGGAGTCTGCAGCCTGGAAGAGGCCCCTCACGTGACCACGCTGGCTCCCTGATCGTGGACTTCCAGCCTCCGGAACTAGGCGAAGCCCACTTCTCTTGTTTATAAGCTATCTAGTCTGGGGTATTTTGCCACAAGAGCACCAACAAAGACACTATCCAAGCAGCAAAAGTTGTGAAAAACTCAAAAATTACATTGTTTGGGATTTGGAATCCGGGGGGCTGTGCTCAAAGCAGCAACGATGATTCCTACCTCTTGTCTGTGCTGTTTCTGAACAGGGAAACAATGATATTTAAAGACACCCAGAAACCTCAACGAAAATGTCTGTGGGCCGTGCCTGAGCGGTCTGCTGAACAGAATCGGGGTCTAATGTGAAGAATCAGCCGGCTCCAATACTTGAAAGGCCCAGACGCATAAAGGATGTATGTGCTGAGGCAGCTGCAATTCATAAATTAAGAAGGTGACCAGGTGAAGCTCTGAGGATTTTTAAATAATCTTACTTGCTGTTCCTTGAAAGGACCAAACCCCAAACTTTTAAAGATCCTTGCTTGGGGGTCCTTTCTGTGCCCCCAGAGCAGCGACCAGTGCATTTTTCGACCTAAAGCTTCCCCGCCGTGAGGTGTAAAGGCTCCTGTGGAGCACGGGCTGGAGTTGGCCAGTGTCTTGGCTCCGCTGCTGTCACCTTCCTGTCCGACTAGCGTCACCCAGCCTTCCATGCCAGGACCGCATCCCCTCCTGGCTGCTCGTGAGGCTTCAGAGCAAACATCTGGCTCCCCTTATTCTGGTAGGAACTTCTTTCCTTTGGGCATCAAGGGGCAGGTGGAGACTGGGGGATGAGGAGTGGGGTCCCAAGCAGCCCAGAGGCTGTAGCTAAGTGGTGGAAAGCATCGAAAACCTCATAAAAATGAATGTAAAGTCACATCCACAGTTGTTGTTTACTGGAGACAGTAAACCGAAGGTAACATTTCAGTTGTTTCCTTTGCAGTGTGCTCAAAGCATATTTTAAGCAGAGGGTAAATAATTTCCTTCCCTGTCAGTTTTGTAGATTTTTGCATTTCCACAAGTTTTAGCAAATTCCCAACTCTATCTCTAATCTATAAAAACATAAACTTATGAACCCTTGCACATTTTATTCATGTCCTTTGAACACGTGCTCAAAATAGAATTCCTGATAAACCACCATCAGTTTCTACAGATAGCTACTTTATCAATGGTAGAAAGAACTTCATCTTAACCCAACTACCTCAGAGTCTTAGGCCATGAAATGAGGACAAAGTTATGAAAATTTCTTGAAGTATTTATTACTATTTTTGTCATTGGCTTTTCTACCTTAGACCCAACCTTACTTGGCACATTTCATGATACAGCCAAATCTAACAGACCTATGCACGAGGTCCCACGCACTAAGGACTTTCTAACTGGATGTATTTGGTGAGTATATACATATTCTTTCTCCTAAGCCAGGGTTTCTCAACTGTGGCACTATGACGTCTGGGGAGTGCTAACCATCTGCACCACAGGTCAGCAGTCCCCTTTTCCTCAAGTTGTGACAACCCAAACTTATCATGTTGGAAATGGTCCATAACTGCCCAATACGGTAGTTCACGGCTTTTAAAAAGTGATGGTTTGTGCAGGAGAGTAATCTTAACTAAAAATACAGGAATGCTTAAAAACATGCTCTAAGTGAATTAGTGAATTCTAGTTGAAAGGCACTAAGAAAGGAAAAACCAAACCAGGATGGAAAGAAAACATTTATTCAATCAAAATCAATACTTTCTTTTAATATCTACAAGCCAACACTGAATGAACACAATGTACAAAAAAAAGTATGCTTATATTATAAAAATATGTCAATTTTATCTTCTGGGTGCTGAGCAGAAGTCATTTTAAACAAAATCAAGGCAAACTTGCTCTCTATAATGAAACTGCTATAATTTAATAACAAAAGTGAAAGCTAGTATCTTTCTTTAAAGGCGATAATGCTGCACTGGAAATGCTGAACCCAATCACTATAGTGAACCTTTCTTCTTGGCACCCACTTCATGCCTGGCCTACATCATGGGAAAGCACCTCTTTTATAGAATGCAGATAATTAACAGAATCCAGGGCACTGGTTAAACCTTCATTCGGTTTCCCGTGCTAAATGTTAGCATGTATTTCAGCAAAGTACTAACAGTCAATCCTGTTTATTTAGATTCAATTTTAAAATGAGACACATGGCCCAAGAGTTACAATCCCGCAGATGATGTGGGGAAGCTGCCACCCTTCACACTCTTCAAAAGCCTCCCTAAAAAATGTGTGCCCAAGGTTAATATATTAAAATCTTTTGTCATTTCTTGCATTTATTGGCACCTTCCTTGGCATATGTTCTTGCACACAGTGTGGCTAGTGTAGGTCAGTTATCTGCTCTTACCATGGAGGTACGCTCCAGTACTCACTGGAGTATTTGGTCCACACAGAAGATATCAAAATCATGAGTTCAAGAGAAAGGAGCAGGGCTCTCTGTATTGTGAATCCAGGAGTTACAGGACAAGGATAAAAGTTCCACTAATTTTAAAAGTCAAAAGAGACTAAAGGGCATCACTATGGACAAGGCCCAGGAAATCCAATCTCTCTTGTAGTCTGTGGCAGGACACAGACTCTGGCTGAGAAGAACACCACGGGTCCTCAGCAAATCCCAGAACGCTGTATCCACACAGTAAATTAAACTGCAAACTGCCTGTTTTTAAATTACTAAGCATGAATATTTCCTCAACAGATTCTCCCTGGGACTGACACCTATGAAGCCACCAACTGCAGACACACAAGCACTGAGGAATCCAGCGCCCCACTGCCTTGAGTCAGTTCTATTCAGAAGCACTGCTTTCCCTCTGTAAGCTATTTATCCAGTTACCTGGTTCATAAGAACCTGGGACTAAGATGCGAAGAAAACAATTACTCACCTAATTTCTTAGCTGTCTACATTTTCACCTAAGTCCCATTTGCTGCATAAAATATTAATCCTACTAAATGTAGTTAGGATTTAAACATTTAAACATTCTCTGCCCTCACAGAGAAGAGAAAGTACTTCTGAAATACACATAATTTATGAAGAATAAACATTTTGGAGCCTGAGCAATGGTTTCTCACCAATGTCCTAACAAATCAAGTCATTATATTGCTCTGGGTTAACTTCCACTGCCCCAAAACAGGTCTGAATGTGGAAAGGCCAATGACTGCAGTTAGTGGTACTGGCCAGGAGTTAACAGTTAGTGGAAACACATGGATCCCATCATATTAAAATAACAAGTCAAAACAGAATGAGTACACAGTGAGACTGGATGAAGGCATCACCACAACACTCCGATACACAACCACACCTGTTCACAAATACAGGTCCTCACTCTCAAAATAAATATATTGAACATTCACAACCAAATGAACACCTTATGAATGCCAGATTTTAGTTCTAAAAGAAGCTACAGGTTACCTTTGTGTGAAACTGACGTGACGTGGTGCCACAGCTAATCCCTCTCTAACGGCAGCAAGGAAACACTCATTCCTGGCCTCCCAGATGAAGCGACTCCATAAAGCATGCAGATACCGATTCTGCTCAAGTCTCAAACGAATAAAAATGATCATTGTGCTTGTGGATGTCCTACCTTCCAAAATATACAGAAACAGTGACAAATTAACAAAAGCAGGTCCTACCTTACCAACAAACTCATAAGGCAGAGGGCTGGAGATGGAAATAGAAACGTTTAAAATGGGAGAAAAATGCAAAATAGTGCTAGCATTCACAACAAAGACCATGCTAAGATCAGATCCATAATCGATAAAAATGAAGCCACGATCCAAAGTCCGTGAGTCCAAAGGCATGCATGCCAGCCCAAGGAAATGCAGGGTTCATCTGACGACAGCTTCTTCAGAGCAGAACAAGAACGTCTCACTGGAGGAATCACAACAGGGTGAACAAGATGCCATCACACTTCTTTTTTGTATTTGAAAAGGAATCAACAACAACAAATTAAAGAAGAGTGAAAAGAGAAAACACAAATTCACAATGACCTATAAAACCAAAAGAAAAATCCAAATTATTTTTACACTTTAAGTTGTCTTAATTTGTAAAGTTTATCATCAAAGATTTATCAATAATGCAGTCTAAAAAACATAAAGGTACTTCACTACACACGACATTCCCCCAAAGTACCAAGATTCAAAATAGTAATTTCATTCATGTTTAAAGAATGAAAGCCGCCTCCCCACATGGTTGTCTTATAGCACTTATAAGTGTTCTTCGTAAGGAAAAGAGCAACCGAAAACTACTATTCAAAGTGCCTACAACCATCCCCTGGAACACTTAGCAGGGTAAAATGTTTGCCTTTTCCGGTGTATGACCCAGGTACTCACGGGAGACAGGACTTGGGGCTATCCAGCCTTCGTATCCACAAGCTGCATCTGCAGGCCGGCAGACACCCCACCCCCGTAGCCCCCCTTGGACTGCATCTGATTCTGAATGGAGCTAACCTAAAATAAGACAAAAACAGAACCAAGTCAAGAACCAGGGACAAGGCAACTGATTCTGGCCCTCAATGTTTTTAGCTAAGCAGTTTTGAGAAGGATACTTTCTATAGAAAAAAATTCTATTTTTATAGACTTAAATTTTTTTTTTTTTAAAGATTTTATTTATTTATTTGAGAGAGAGAGAATGAGAGACAGAGAGCATGAGAGGGAGGCGGGTCAGAGGGAGAAGCAGACTCCCTGACGAGCAGGGAGCCCGATGCGGGACTCGATCCCGGGACTCCAGGATCATGACCTGAGCCGAAGGCAGTCGCTTAACCAACTGAGCCACCCAGGTGCCCCTATAGACTTAAATTTCTGATCGCCCTTAGGGAAAATGGTGAGGCTACTAAAAACACTTTTCAGCCCTCAACTCCCTCTCCCCACTTAGCAGCGACAAAATACCTGTTTTGTAATTCACAATGTACTTGGTAACATTTCAAAAACAGAAGTATACAGATCAACTCGTTCTTAATTTACAGACACCTCACATAGATGATCACCTCAATTACTTAGAATCAAACAAAAATAAATACAAATGAAATTGGACCAGCCAGAGGTAAATTTTTAAAGTCCCACGTGATAAAATTTACATACCTGATACCACCTTAAAGAATCAAAAAACTTGGAGGGTAGTCCAAATTTATTCACTGAGTCATTGTAACTCTGGGTTAAGTATTTATCCTCTCTAAAGATCTGTAAAAGAGTTAACGTGATCATCTCTCCTCCCCACCGAACAGGGCTATTTTCTGATGGGCTGTAAGGTTCTTCTCTTACTTGGTGGAAACAAAGCTTACTGGCAAGCTGAGAAGTGCCCTTAGTGGACCAACATTATTCCAATCTTGGTTCATACCAGCTAGAAGCAGACTGTGAGTAGGGAAGGAGAGAATCAGGCTAGAATGCTAGAGAACGGGGCCGTGAGGTGGAGCTGGAGGTGCTGACCTAACAGTGTCAGTCAGAGCAGGGCCGATCTGCTCCACGGGTCCCTCAGCTGTCCATGGTTCCCTGGGGGCAGGGGCTGGCAACAACATCCACTAATTAATCCACTTAAATACTTACTGAGCACTTGATAGAAAACATGACGTGTGGGGTGTTTTCAATGGTGATCCTGAGTCAGTATGTTTAAGCAAAGCAGGTAAGATTTGCCTATTTTCTGAGCAAGGTAGGTTTAAATATATTCTAATAGAAAAGCAAAATATAAAATGCATAGCTTCTTTAGATCCAGAAGGGTTTCACTGACAACATCTCACTCTAGTGATATCACACGTGTTATGGCCTTATCTATACTCACATTACTCAAGTGACTACTTCAGTTAAAAGTATTAAAAAAACACCTGAAATCTATAGGCCTATTTATTTTCAGCAACCTTGCTCGTCTGAGAAGGCTACAAGCATAAGCTATCAGTGCAAATTCATTTTCTGTTCAAGTAACCTGTTTTCTGGCACAAACTTGATTTTACCCAGATACCAAAAAATTTCCCACCTAACATGTTACCTTTTCTAGATATATCAGGGCTATTTATAAAAAGTAACATTTTTGTGTTTTTACATAGTGCATTCATAATGTCATGCTGATTCTAAGCAAGAAAAAAACTGGTTTTCCTCCAAAAGTCAATTGTTCAATTTCAAACTATAGAATTTGGATTTTCTAATGGATTACTTTTGACTGTGTATATATTATATCTTAACACAATAAGACTCTATTATTAAAAGCGTCATGGGATTCTTTTCTAATAAGGAGTTAATTTATGAAAGGTAATCTTGGGAAGAAGAGTGTGTTTACAGGAAAAGAGAAACTCCCAAGTCATCTGCCCGTTCAGGAATCCAGTGTGGCAAGGCTGTCCCACCTGCGTCGAGCCAGGCACCTCATACGTGGGGCTCGGTTCTTAGGACAGACTAACTTAAGGCAAGCTATTTCTGTGGATAAACAGCATTCAGGTTTTGTCTCACTCTGTGCAGCACTGTTACTGCACAGAAGAGTTCTCTCACCAAATCAGGCTCATACCAGTAACATCTCTCCACTAACGTAACTTGCAGGGAACGTGGGGATTACGTAACACTGAACCCACTGAACCTAACGCAAGTGCCTCAAGCAGCAACCCGGGGACATGTGGGAGTCAGAGACTGCGCCTCACCGCACAAACAGGAAACCTCTGGGAGACACACTGGGTTCCAATGAGCTCAAACACTTCATAAAAACACCTACTCTGTAAGCAGAGCAGGCTGCCTGGACTCGGCAGGTAGACTAACAGCGGAGGGCCTGTCTGGATCCAGCTCTCAGCTGGCGGCGCACACGGATGCCCTGCCAGAGACCGTCCTCCTCCAGTCCCAGCTCAACTGATGGCAATGAGAGTCCCCTACATCCATGAGGGGCTCCTAGTGCAGACAAAACGCCAAAGAGGACTTTTAAAAGAAATCCCGAAACGTACGTAAACAGTATTTAAAAGGTTAAATACCATGAACTAAAGATTTAATTCATTCTGGAGTTTTAAAAAACGTCAAGTGGGGAAAATTCATCACATAAAATAAATCTGAAGCCATTCGCTCTACTTGCATGTATTGTGATAACCCTGTTGACAAAAGTCCTAGGTTCTCATTTGGTCTTTTCATTTCATGCTGATCAGGAAACAAAGCTACTGAATTGTATTTTGACAGCAACCTGACACCTCCGACATTTCCACAAAAGCAGTGGAACAAAACAAAGTACTTTTCCTACAGATTTAAAGCAAACAAGCAGTTTCCTCTCAGGAAGCTACACATGTTATTCCTTTGCTTACCTAGTAACTGATGTGACAAACTTCTTTGCCGTATCCAGGATATCCATCTACCTATTTTAAAAGTCTCCGCTCTCTTGTTAAGTCTTTTGTTAATTCTGTCTAGTAAATAAGTATACAATGGATAATTCTGTATTTATAAAAGCCTTACTGACTTTCTGGTTCTAAGCACTTTAGAGATCATTTAGACACATCTGTTTACTTTAAATTTGGGGGAAAGAGGCTCGCGATACTTTGTGAAAAGTAAAAAAAAAAAAAAAAAAAAAAGTAGTAACTTCAGGGCAAAAACGAGGCAGAGCCCTGACACTCTCACTTGGCACTGCTTCTGTTATAGCGCACTGTTTTGTTAGATGAAAATTGAGGAGTAAACGAGTTCAAGTGAGTAAATCTAAAGTGTTTTGAAATTCACTGAAATCTCTACAAAAGAGCAAATGTACACAAGTATTTACATTAGTTATGAATAAATCACAAACATTCTAATAAGGCTAGTCTTTTATAAGGTAAATGCAATAAATATGTTTGCAGAAGGCAACTTCATGAATTTAAGAAAAAAGAAATATTACTAACAGGCTGACATCCACATCCCTTTGCAAGGAGACAGGAGAGCCAAAGGGCTATTAGCTATCATTCTAAACTCAATACCTTTTAAGTATTTTTTCAGGAGAAAGGTAGAAATATACACATAGTTTAGCAAATCAGAGGAGAGAATAATTTTTCATTGCTCATTTTCTTCTATGTTCATGTTATGTATTTATATTCAGTGTCTACAAATTCACTGAGCACTGTATAATCTTTAAGAATGTATGTACCTGTCATACAGGTGACATAGGTCTATGCCCCAAGACCCCATCTGCATCTTCCACCAATACACTTACTGAATTCATTCCACTGAATAGGTCTCCCGATCCTACATGAGCCGTGTGCACAAAATTTGTTGGCTCTCCAATCATACTTCGGTCAATCCGCCGGCGCCTTTTCTAAAATACAGGGAAGAATGTGTTGAGAAATGATTTTATAAGCAACATACTTACTCTGTTGGATTTATTTACTATGGATGAATGATTTTAATGACCATAATACAATTTCCCCAGGACATCAAGATCCCGACATCTTGGGACTATCAGGATTACCTCAAGAGAGAGATATGCACACACACCCACAAAATGATTGGTAAAGCAAAACAATAGGTTATTATTTAGAACTGAAAATACATTACTTGGCCTAGCTTTGGCTATTGACTTATTTGTATAATAACTATTTAGGTTTTATTGTTTAAAAAAAAATAAGGCAACTGTAAAATTATCACCAGTGACCCTTTTCGTTAGCAAAGAATATAGTGTGATTTGAGTACAACACTCCTGATGTTAACATCACTTTCTAGGTTTCATCATTAACAAACTGACATTAGGGGCACCTGGGTGGCTCAGTTGGTTTTAAGCGTCTGCCTTCGGCTCTGGTCAGTGGGGCGTCTGCTTCTCCCTCTCCCTCAGCCCCTCAACCCCTGCTTATGTTCCCTCTCTAGCTGTCTCTCTGTCAAATAAATAAATAAAATCTTAAAAAAAAAAACCACCTGACATTTTGATGGTTTTTACTTAGATTACACCCCCACAACCATTCCACCCTAGAATGAATTGGCTGCTCTGTTTGGAGGAAATGTGGTCCCAATCCATTCACTCTTCTCTGGTCTGAGCTGGCTGGGCATGAAACCCTATCCAAACTCAGTCTACTAAGCTGGGGCTTAGTGACCCCTCCTAATTTCTGACAACCACCTCTTACAGGGTACAGAGTACTTCTGCTACCAGCTGTAATCCTTGCCTCACCAATATGCCCATTCACCTCATCAGAGGGAGTTCCTTACCCTGCTGTTTCACTGATCATGAGATCCTTCCAGAGACAAAGGTTATCTTCAATCAGTCCCACGTTTTCCATGACCCCTCAGATACTGTGAGCTAGCTGAGAGGGAACACTGCATTGCTGGCTTCGTGTCCTAACACCAGGGCTGCTTCTCCCCCTTTACTTCCCTTTGAACAATATACTCTGTGTCTACCGCTATTGAAATGCTGGTATAATCCTGATAAATCCTAAATTTACCAAGACAGACCCAAGTGACAGCACCTCAGGATTAAAACACAATTTTCTACAAAGCCACCAAAATGGAGAGTTCATACATTAATTTCAGAAGCCAACATACATTGTTTTACTGTCCTCTAGCTTTTACAGCTGCCATTCAGGATCCCAAAAGAAGCCCGAGTTTCTCCTTAGAAATATTTATGTTCATCCTCACAGTCCAACGACAGACAGTGGGCCATCTCCAAGTTCGTTGGTTTCTCCATTCAGTGCATCTATCTGAACACAGGTTTTACTGTATCTTGGAGAAGTTTTCTTCTATTATGTTTTTATAATGCTGCTTGTGTTTCTTTCTGCAATTTCTGTTTCACTGTTAGATGAACAGTGGATTGTATTTGTGTATGTGTGTATACTCTTCCAATTTTCTGGTATCTTTATCCAATATTTTTATTTCTCTTTATAGTTTTGCTATATTGAAAACTAACTTTACTTGATCTTCTTCAGGAATCCACAGATTTTTTTCTTACAGACCAAGACAGTAAATAGGCTATTCCGTGTGTCGTAGCTTCAACTCCACTGTAGTCCTTGGGGCACAAAAGCCGCTACAGACAAATGCATGAACAAAGGGTAGTTCCGCTCCGGTGAGCACTTACTCATGGAGACAGGGAGCAGGCTAGATGAGACCCACAGGCAGTAGTTTGGAGACCCCAGCTCTAGAACAGTTATTTTTTCAGTGGTAGCTACATACTATTTTTCAATTACAGTTATTTTTTTCAGAAGCTCTGTTATGAAATGACATCACCACAGTATTTTTTCATCTCTTGGAGAATTTGTATTACAGGTTTTCATTTTCCCTCTCAAAATGCTTGACCATATGAATTACAGTCTGTAACACTGAACAGCAAAACACTCTCATTCATCTACTTGAAGCCCCTTTTTCAAGGGTTGATAAGAAATTCGGGCGCCTGGGTGGCTCAGCTGGTTAAGCGACTGCCTTCGGCTCAGGTCACGATCCTGGAGTCCCTGGATCGAGTCCCGCATCGGGCTCCCTGCTCGGTGGGGAGTCTGCTTCTCCCTCTGACCCTCCCCCCTCTCATGTGCTCTCTCTCAAATAAATAAATAAAATCTTAAAAAAAAAAAAGAAAGAAAGAAATTCAATCATTCGGGGGCACCTGGGTGGCTCAGTCGTTAAGCGTCTGCCTTCGGCTCAGGTCCTGATCGCAGGGTCCTGGGATCGAGCCCCGCATCGGGCTCCCTGCTCTGCGGGGAGCCTGCTTCTCCCTCTCCCACTCCCCCTGCTTGTGTTCCCTCTCTCGCTGTGTCTCTGTCAAATAAATAAATCTTAAAAAAAAAAGATATTCAATCATTTGTTTGGGGCCTTGCTCCCCAATTATAGAAAAATTTCAGGTTAAGAAGGTGTCAGTAAGACGATCCAGAACCTCTGTCTGTTTTTCGATTTTTCTATTTGTCAGCACAAGGCATGGATTTCTTGCTATCTTCTATGTTTTTACTTCAGGTGCTCTAAAGGTACCTCAAACAGACTCCATGCCCCTCAGCACAGACTCGACACCCACAGCATCCTTTGACTGGGGACACCCATACCAGCAATGCCCTGGTTCCCCCAGACTCAGTTTACCTATTTCTACCCAGTCCATTCAACATACTTCCCTTCATACTATTCTCTTCTAGGATAACACAGCATAAATGAACTGTAAGAAGCAAAGCTACCTTCTCTTTTCTAGGATTAAGTTAAGGAAAGAAGATGCTAACAGCAGTTTTGTGCCTTTTTTTCTTCTTGGCTATACTGTTACATTCCATTGAATCTGCTTTGTTAGAAAGCTGTGTGTCCAGGCACATCCAAATGTATCTTCACCATCAAAAGATAAGAATTTTCTCAATACCTGGGCTGGACAAATTGTTGGGGTTTCTTCCCCAGTAAGCCCCTTGACTGACAGTTAAACAGAAAGACTTCTAGCTTCTTGGCACCCTCCACACAGCAGGAAAGGGTGGATGGCTCCTTCGTTGAAGAAAAAGGGTAGCAGTGACATTCCAGGGGATGATGGCATCTATGGGCCTGAAGACCTTTCCTTCTCAGGCCTCGTCAACAGGTCCTGGTGGCAGAGGGTGCCACATGGCTCAGCCAGAAGGGCCCCCTCAAACAGGTTAAGGGATGGGCACATTTCAGAGAGTAAGATCTATTCCACGACACTGGGAGTCTTGACCATCCCTTGCCCTGTGAACACATAGGAGCAACTTCTCAAGTTCTATCTTTGTAACTTCCTCTGGACGGGTGTGTTCAGGGCTTAGCAAAAGGCTACACTTGGCCCACATCTCCACATTAAGTGATTTATTCTAACAACTGAATTACTGAAGGAAGATGTTGGGGATGAGGAATCACCATGGGGCACTCAGGCCACCACCCAACTCCCCAGAAACGTTTCTTGAAAGGAACTCATGAATGGATCAGGTTGTTAATCAAAATCAAAGACTATAACAAACATTCTGAATACTGAGGAAGGATGTTCCACAGAGACTACTCTCATACTGAAGGGCAAATCTGAGAACAGTGAATACATTTTAACTTCAACTTTACTGAGCTGGGAGTCAGGCTTTCCCCTTTCACCTTGTAAGGTTTCTTCATGCTATTAACCTGACATTGATTTAAGGTACAGAGGTTGAAGCTTTCAGTCCTTCCCCTTCCCTAATGACAAGACAGGTTGTTCCTTTGGTTTGTTTTGTTTTGTATTTTAAAGATTTGAGAGAGAAAGAAAACGAACAGGGGCAGAGGCAGAAGAAGCAGACTCCCCGCTGAGCAGGGAGCCTGATGCGGGACTCAATCCCAGGACCCCAGCAGAAGGCAGACGCTTAACGACTGAGCCCCAGGCGCCCTGTGACAGGCTGGTTTTAGAGGCTCGTCCAGGCCAGTCCACAACAGCTACAGCTTGCACGCGGGCTGGAGGAGCCAAACAGGCCATTACAGCAACGCTGGTGGAAAGAGATTACTTGGATTCAACTACAGGCGCTGAGGTGGAAAGAACTAGGTTGATTTAATTCAGTGGGTCAAATCAATAGCATCTGGTTGTTGCCTGGATGTGAGAAGTAAGGGAGCAGTAGAAGTTAAGAAAATGCACAGATTTCCCATCTGAGAGGAATGTACACAATTCACTGCGGCAGGTAACACTGGAAGAGGAGCCAGGCTTTAGGAAGAAGATGAAAGAGTTCAGGATGCACTGAGCTTGAGTTACGTCTGAGACATCCAAGTGAAATTATCAAGAGGGCCAGCTGGATACATGGATGTAGGATTCTGACAGAGGCTAAACTAGACAAAAGAAATCAAGTCTCACCAGCACAATAAAGAAGGAAAGTACACAGAGGAACCCTAACGTGGGGTGGAGAAAAATAAGCCATCAAAGGAGGCTAAAAAGAAAATGCCTGGAGGGGTTAGGCAAACACAGTTGAAAGCGAGTGAGAGGTCAGATAAAGACCAAAGGAGTGCCTGTGGAGGGGAAAGAGTGGAGGACTTCTGAGGGGCCAGACGAGCGTGCAAGAGGCGGGAAATGGAGTATCGAACACAAACAACTGGACACAGTCTGGCCGTCTGGACAGGGTCAAGAAAGAATGGGCTGAGCTGAAAGAAGAGGAAAAGAGGACTGAATTTTTCCCTTTAAGATGAGAAAGACTTGATTTAAGCTTAATTTCTGATAAGATCCAGTGAAAAAGTCTAAAAGTAGAGAAAAATAATCATCAACACGGTAATGTTCCAGGGAGGGTAGGAGGGACAGATCCAGACAGAGGATGAGATGTTCTCTGCGTTTGTATTATAACATTCTTAACCTAGATGCTAATAATTACCTATTTGAAAATACAAAAGTGTACTATTTTTCAGTCACTACGGACACTTAAAGAATAG